TTCACCTTGAACTGGGAATTATATACAAACTTTGAATAATATATCAGTTACTTTTTATGGTAATATATATTGTTACATAATAATTTCAATTTTTAAAAGTTTATATTTTAGAAAATCTACTTACATTTTTGAACATGGCCTGATCTTTTCATTGTAATGATATTTTTGGGCTATACATATATACTGTTAGTACTGTTACACTATATTATTGTTATATGTCTTATATTTTACTCTATATTATTCTTTTGCAGAAATTGTGCAATTTGCAATATGCATTTAAATATTTTTTTAAAAGCAACTGCGTATTCTGTTTATACTAACTGACACAAAGTTACACAAAGTTTATGCTTACGAAAAAATTTTCCTATCAAACAAAAATTATGATCATTTGATCGTCTTACGTAAAGGGTTTTCTGCTGATTATTCTACTATACGTTAAATCTCATTTTACGGTAAACATTCAAACATCGAATGCAGTCAGTATGTGTGCGTAGCGTTGCAAAATTAAAAAAACTTTAAGAACAAAAATTAAAGAGCATGGGATGTCGAATTCATTCATGTATAATAATGTTACGGTTCCCCTATTCAATTTGTCAGAAAACGAGATAACGTGCGTGACGTCTTAACACGATTATCATCTTGTTTTCTGAAAAATTGACTCGTGGAATTGTTATACATGAATGGATTCGGCATCCGATGCTCTTTAATTTTTGTTCTTAAAAATTTTTTTAATTTTGCAACCCTGATAAGTGGAGGTGGGAGTTAATTAAAAAAATTTGATTTAAAAAAAATGAATACACTATATATAGAGCATAAAATACTGTAAAACTTTTGTATAAAACATTTTTTTCATACGCGGCATAGTTTCGAAGATATTCGCTGAAAACGAAAAAATCCATTTTCTTCGTGAGGGTGTTTTCCCCCCTAAACCTCAAGATAAGCTGCTATAAAAAATATGGGTCGAATATTTTTTGATGCTCTACAACATATCCAAAGCGCATCAAAATCGGTAAGAGACAGTTCCGACCGTTCCCTTGTAAGTGGCAATCAAATCTTCATTCCATTTACTCACAAAAGTAAAATATATTATTTATATAGAATATCTGTAAATGAAAAACGAAAAAAAATTTTATTTAATCTCTTGATATAAATATAATAAGGATCAAATAAAAAATAAATTAAAAATAACAAAGAAAGTAAACATTATCTTTTTAAATCAGTTTAAAAATGATTATTAATCACAGAAAAGAAATTCTTTAGGACTTACTTTACTCTCAAACATTACAATCACCTTTAACTTTTTGTATTATAATTATTACATTTTACTCTTTAATGTTTGGAAATTTCTAGCAATTTGAATGCAATTTTGGCTTCTTAATAGATAACAGCATTGAAAATTGTTATTCTCTGGCGTAAACTCCATACATAACAAACAAATAATAATGGCTATAATAATCACATAAGTGGGCATTATTTAATAAAGTACATTATTAAAAAAAAATACTTACACTTATTTAAAAAAATTTATTTATTTGTTATTTTCCATAGCTAGAAAATTGAATAATATTATAATGAATCATAATAAATTATGAAACTAATAAATGTTGCAACGGATTGTTATAAAAATGACTCGTACACACAAGTTTTTATGTTAAACAACCGTGTTCCAATTCTTTAATCCTTTTTTATCCATTTTCTATAACATATCTTTTAAGTATATATACCTACTGCAGACGTGAAGCGAGTTTTAAAGTAATAAATTTAAAAGTGAGCCTTGTTTAGTGCTGGGCTTTATTCAGTTCAAGTACCTTACATCTTATTAAAATATATCTCTTTTTCAAAGATACTGAATAAAAATTTTATATAAAACTTGAGAAAGATAGGAAGTAAAATACGACAGGTAGTAAAATAAATATTTCCTCTTTTAAAGTCGTTTACGTGTATGGAGTACATGGTGAATTTAACGTTTATAATGTTACAAAAACTTTTTGACGTGTTAAAATTAACGTTAAATACACGTCACTTAATCGACATCAGTGATCATTTGTGACCGATTGACGACAAAATAACGATAAACTGCTATTTATGTTTAATTGAATATTAAAAATCAAATTATTTGAATAATTCATATAACCAGAATTTGACAATAATTATTAATTTAGACAATAATTATTTTAGATAATTTAATTTAGTTCGTAGTATTTGGTGGAAAATATTACAAACAGAAGCAAAGGTGCATTCTCACTCACTGTAGCAGAGTAACATAAGCCACTGCATAGCTCTCGGCAAAAATTGGGAAATATTTAACTTGATTTTCTTTTAAACTGTATCAATTTCAATTTAGGTAAACGAAAATTATTAACGTGTGTTGTAATCTGTACGACCGTACAAAATTATGGTCCGCTGATGAGACAGCCAACCAGACTGGCTAAAGTAACGGCTTGTACTTTCTTATTTCTTGTGATAGAGCTGGTGGGAGTACGGAGTGAAAGAGTATGATGACCTCAATAAAAATGTAGGTATGATTATTTGCTGCATTTTACAGTTGTAAGTAAACATTTTTTTTATGCTTACTTATAACCGAAAACAACAAAATTTTTTGAATGAAAAACCAAATAATTGAGAAATTTATTTTTATAATTGCGTGCAACTACGTCTTGGAATTTATAATTTCATTACAACCTTACAGTTGTATTTTAATCTTTTAATTAAATAAAAATTAAACAAATGCTGATATCTTTATACCAAATTATCAAAGTAATAGTTAAATCCAAGTAGTACCTATTTTAAGCTATTGATTATGTCTTAAGAACCAAAAAGGAACTAATACTTTCACGGGTTTTTATTGTTGGATTCGGTCAATGGATCATTTAAGAAGAAAAAACCGCGGAGTGCTATGAAATTAGAGGGTGGAAATCGGAGATAGGGGTGAAAAAGCACCCTTTTCAGTTTTTTCAATATATCTCGCGAACGAAGCAAAATTTCGATATACTTTATAAGAAATTTTTTGTAGGTAATTAAATTTCCGATCGGAATAGGTTTTTCAAAAAATTAAAAAAATTTTTTTCATGCCGAACAAGTAGAAACAAAAAATAAAAAAGAAGCAAAAATTTCGAATTTTGTTGTCTTTCTACTTTTTTGTCTATAACTTTTTTTTGGTCCGAGATAGGTATAGGGAATGCTTCATGGAAAAAAAAGTAGACAAAATTTCCTTTAAAATACTGTAGTCAAAAATTTTTTTATGTTAAAATATGGCCACTCGAATATAGCAATTTTTTTCGATTTTCATCCCTCTTATACTGATATTGTTTCAATTCTCATT